CAATATATATATATATATATATATATATATAAACTTGCCAAGGGGCATAGTTACTTCTTTGCTTCCTCCTTCTAGAAGGCGTGTTTAAATTTTATGATCACACTGACGTTTTCACACGTTAGTGTCATCACAAATCGGCTCTTGATGGCACCGCCCTGGTAGATTAGCTGGTAGCACCTTGATTAGTCGCTGGCAACCTTTGTTAGAGAAATCTTGCAGTGCTTGAGGATGAATTTCTTTATCTTGTTGGCTGTATTTACCATGTGACGTCAGCGAAGAAGGTTTCTATAAAAGGACAAAACAAAAATATTCATTTACATAGAAAAACCAACTGTGATTACATAGATAAAATTTTAAATATTGATTTTTATCCAAGAGTTTAAATTCTTTTAAACGAGAGAACTTAAAAGACGTGAGAGAAAACGTATTATGTATTTATTATGTTGTAATTTATATGGAAGAAAAAAAAATACACAAATAAAAGAGACCCAGAATAATGGTGAAAACCAACTCGAAAGCACCAATACAAATCTCCGGTAAGTTAATGGTAAGTTTACGCTAAAATCCAGGGTTCTATTCCGCACGGTAGCCAGATCACAGATAATTCTTCATGAAAACAATAAGTTGCTAAAACTAATTTTATATAAGCTAACAAGATCAGCGCGTGCGTTTAAATCTGCCTGTTTCTGTACCATACGACTCATAGAAAATGATCTATTTCATTCAAAACTTGCTCCTAGTAATAAATGAATAGGTCACAGATTGCCAAAAACATTTTATATATATTTATTTCTAAAAGATGACGTTTCGAGCTAGCGCGCCCCCTGAGGGTTTAAAATGCTAAAAAAATTATTATGTTACACGTAGATAGCACATTGTTTAGCTTTGTGCTTAACAAAACAAAAACCCAAAACACAATCGAGTTAGCGCTCTTTGTTAGATCGCAAAGCTTAGAATCAAGAGCGTTAATTCGAAACTTCATCTTCCAGAAACAAATATATAAAAGATTGTTGGCTATTTGTAATGTTTTTATTTATTTCTGTGTCTCTGACGCCTAAACGGTTAACTATTTTATAAAACTTATAGAACAAGGCTGTAAATATTTTACCATTTGGTTCAATTTTCTGGAATACAAGGCATTACGACGATAGAAATTGGTACCGAAAAATCGTTAATGTGTGAAAATTGATATTTGTTATTTCGCTTCTCTCTAGTTAATGTTACGGTATATGTTCGAATTGTACTTATTAGTTTATTAATTAGTCTATCAAGACCTTAGACGCAACGAAATAGGACGTAAGCTGATTATAAGCTGAGCGGACGGATTATACGTCATTAACCACTGACGTACTTATCTGTTTAACTGGTCTCTCTCATTAGATAGGACTTTAATTATATATATAAGCTGATCTATATTTATAATATTATAAATATTTTCTACAATTTCCTTTTGGTTCTTTTCCTTAATTATTTGTTCAATCCTATTATACGTGCCTTCCATTGTGTATTTATGAGGATCTTTGTTTTATGGCTATTTTACCATTATTTTATTAATACCTTCACTTTTCTAGTATCATAAAATGCACTGTAGGAAAACTTGAGCCTCCTATAAGTTTCAACTAACGTTTGTAATATTTTTAATATTCCATAAGGGTGGGAACAGTAATTCTTCTATACATTAACATCATGTTTTTTGTTCCAATCGTAACTGAGTAAGATTAACATTTCAGATTTATCTTTTGTCTGCCTCAAGTCACGAGGCATTCTGGATAAAAGTTAGGTTCAAAATGCTATTTTTACACACCTATAACTTGAAATACATACTTGATTTAACTAATTGTAATGTTTTCAAGAAACGTCTGCAGCCCTTACTAATATTCGTCAAGACTACAAATCCTCATTATGTAGCATCACATATCATATTGTAGGTAAATACACAATACCGTGTAAACTAGTGTAAAATGAAGTTACTATTCACTATTATGGAACACAAGATTCGACATTTTCACGTGTCGTCTTCAGTCCAACCTTTGTTTGTGTAATAATTTAACCCTCAGCTTATTTTAAAGTTTTATACATAAAACTAGAAATTATGTCAAAAGAAGAATTGTGGGAAGCTCGCGTATCCAAAGATTGCCAAACTTTAACATCTGTGAAGGTCATTTAAAAATTCCTTTCGTGATTTGCTCGAGATAACCCGGGCGTCCTCCGTGTTACAAAAAAAACAAACTATAATGAGTACTGACGTTTCAAAAACTTCGTGTAATTCTGAATAATGTACTGTTTACTGTCACTTGATAACTAATGGTGAAACAGTACTGGAACAATAAGATCCATTTTTATAGTTTGTGGATAATTCAAATATATATATATAATATAATGACTTTTTGTGTACTTTAGTAGTGGAATTAAGTTGACTGAAATACCGTTTGTAGGTAACAGCACAGACGCGTGAATACGTACAATAAATCGAAATGTATTTACTTTATTATTTTATTTTATTTACCCTGACGCTAGTAGAGACGAACAACGAAAAGAAATTGCAAAATAAGACATCTAAATAATATTTATCGACGTTTCACCATATACGATAGCTAAAAGGCTATAGAGCGAATAATGTTCGAATACACGAAAGATAGAATGCTATAGGGCGAATAATATTCAAATATACAAAAATTAGAATGCTATAGAGCGAATAATGTCCGAATATACGAAGGCTAGAAGGCTATAGGACGAATAATGTTCAACTATACGAAAGCTAGAAGGCTATAGGACGAATAATGTTCGAATATACGAAAGTTAGAATGCTATAGAGCGAATAATGTCCGAATATACGAAAGTTAGAAGGCTATAGGACGAATAATGTTCAACTATACGAAAGCTAGAAGGCTATAGGGCGAATAATGTTCTAATATACGAAAGCTAGAAGGTTATAGGGCGATCAATGTTCGAATATATGAAAGCTAGAAGGCTATAGGGCGAATAATGTTCGAATATACGAAAGCTAGAAGGTTATAGGGCGATCAATGTTCGAATATACGAAAGCTAGAAGGCTATAGGGCGAATAATGTTCGAATATACGAAAGCTAGAAGGTTATAAGAGCGAATAATGTCCGAATATACGAAAGCTAGAAGGTTATAGGGCAAACAATGTTCGAATATACGAAAGCTAGAAGGTTATAGGGCGAATAATGTTCAAATACAATTAGCAGCAGTAGCGATATCGGATTTAATTTACCATATTAAGATATTAGGAAAACATAACAACCAGCTGGCATCAGAACTTAGACACAGAAAAGTAATAAGCTCAAAACATGCCTCCAAAACATTATCTAATAGTGAATTACCAAACTGTTTAAATCTAAGTCTATTCTCAGAGTTATGATTGATCTCTTAAGAAATTTAATTGTATTAGTGTGAATATATTGGTTGATAATATATTTACTGAATTTCAGATAAAATAATTGATCATTTCATGCAGAAAACATATAACTGAAAGTTTTATTTTGCAATTTGTTGAAAAATCATTATATATATTACTCTGATAAACAGTTATTGCAATTAATTATTATTATTTTTTGTTCCCAGGAAAGAAAAGGCAAATAAAGATTGTAGGTTTGTCAAAAAAAATGCCCTTTCCAATAGCAGTTCGCTAACATGTATCATCCTTCCACAATCAGTAATGTTGAAGTTACTATTATACATCTAGAAAAGTGGTTATGTATATTTGATAAAAATCGGTTCGTTTATTTATAACTAAACAGAAAAGTCACAAAACACAGAGACTCAAACTTACATTGCTGGCAGGCGTAGCAGATAATCGAGAATCTAAGGGCGAAACCGGAATCCTGTATTCCTCGATTTCGTAGTCTTGAAATGGGAGCGAAATTGTTGGCTTCATTTTTACACTATTCCCTGTAAATTCCCAAAATCTCAAATTCAAACTCGATTTTTTTATCATTATGTCGACACAGTTTCTATATTTTAAACAAAATAATAAGCTTTAAGTAAAAGTCCAAGTCCAGTGATACAGCTTTTGAGTGAATTGTTTATTTTTATTTTTGGTTTAACGTAATTACAACGTTTCGACCACTCATCTGGCCATCATCAAGAAACTGACGACAGTGTACAACGGATTTGCTCTCCTCCCAACAAACTGTATGTTGAAAACTTATTTTTATGTCCAGTACAAAATTACATGTCATGTTTCATTTTGAATCATTTCATCCATCATCCACCATCCTTGTATATATGAAGTAGACTGCTTGATAAACGGGAAGAGGATCACAGTTTACTGAGGTACATTTACCCTACTGACATACACTTACCCTACTGTATTGTCAATTTATCTTGCACCGATTTTATATTGTGCTGGAGTTGAGAACGCGAAAACCGTGAGTTATCGCTCGTTTCTTTTTCCCATGAGCATGAAAGGTTTTTTGACACCCTGCTAAAGGACAAGTATAAAACTACCACTTGGAGCTTGTGTGTTAATTAGCTGCATTAGCTCGTTCTTTCTATGACAGCTTTACCCAATATAAATACTTTTTTTGCTGTATTTTCCATTTTCAGTAAAAATTCGATTATTTTATCGATATTCCCCGTAGCGATAGAAATCGTGTCTAATATGTCTTGTATCTTTTATTTTATTTTACGAAAAATGTTCACCTTGTGAACCAATGTTTTAGAAGAAACACGCGCTCAATCCAATATTCAACATGCATGTACAATTTATGTAATACTGTATACCATTTTTATAAGATTTTTAGTAAAAAATCTATCCATCTCTTATCTTTTTCTTTCTCCAGATCTGTCTAAAAACATACAAAAATGATTATTTTATCTTCCAGTATAAGGACGTGTGTGTGAGAGAGAGAGAGAGATCCAACGCAATCTCTACTCCTGTAACCAAGTCGTCAAGCCTAGGAGCCTAGTTTGATTTACTGCCGTGATCTTTTCTAGTTACACTCTTTATAGGTACATTCTTGTTCGATTGTGATGCAGGATTTCGTTTCTGTTTCTGTGTGGAAACTGTAAGAATACTAAAAACTTTCTCGGGAAACATTCTTCCCGGTCACGTTCAAGTATTGTAGGCATTCATTATTAAAAAAGAAACAATATGTCATAACGTTAAATTGATATTATGAAATTATTGTTTATTACTATTGTTAATCTTACTTACTTACTGTAAAAGCTGTAACTTCTAATGAAATAATACTTAATCAGTTAGTAAACCCAAAACGAAAATTATTGTTTGTCGTTATAGATAATTAGGGAAGATAGGTGTTAGTGTGTAAAAACGTTGCTTTGTGGACACGCATAGTAAAAATAAAATAAAAGAGGAATAATTGGAAGATGGAACTATTTTTATATCCCGTGGGATATCTCTAAATAATGTATATATATATCACCATAAATAATAGTTATACTATTATAGTCTTTATTAAAGCTTTATTACGATGTCAATGTTTTTTCACTCGTGAGAGGTAGATTTAAAAAATAACAGATGCTCAGACTATATTTAAATTCAGTTCGCCAGCTGTATTTGTGAAACATTTCATACCTGGAATAATATCCGGGCATTTTTCTTCAGGTAACGTCATCATTTGCTCAAGTGGAGATTCATATTTTTCTGTTCTATAAGAAGAATAGATAATACTTCGGGTTAAAATGTTTCAATCCCATACACGAGATAAACCTTTTCAAGTTCATGCAGAGTTTTACTTCAGTAACAGAAAGTCTAAATCCATTTTATTGAAGTAAATATCCTGAATGAAAAGTAATTATATACATAGAAAGAAACGAAAGTCAAAGAATGTGTGTACGAATTACTAACAATTTTGCTGCAATACAACTGTAAACGCTTTCAACAATATGTACGAGCACTTATTTTCATTGCGCATATACGTTAAAAAGACATAGAAAATAGGGCTCACTTTACCGGATAATTTTATATTTCCATTATTGCAATTGCATCTGAAACAATAAACAAATGAAGTAAAGCAAAGTTTATGATAAGGCACGATTGGACTTTCCATATAACCTCTTTACGTCCATGGATTTTACTTGATATAATGAATGAAGAATACATAATAAAATTTCTTATTGTCAATGTTTGAAATTAATTACCAGGAAATATGGACAGTTATAAGAAATCAACTATCGGTAGTAAAACGTACTACTTCATCCTTAAAAGATTTAGCTTGAAAAATGATAATATTTTATTTGCTCTCTTTAAGTTTTCTAGACATATTCTTCAGTGGTTATTATAATTAATAATAATATTGGTTAGACTAGTTAATATATTTAATGTAATTACTTTTTATTTTCATTTGTCGTTTATTATCATACTTTTATTGTAAAGATTGTTTTGCATCGTTCGTTTTGAATTTCTATTTAAGAATAACCTAAATATCCTAGGCTGAACGAACATCGTGAGATATTATTAGGTTTATGACCGAAAATATCGTTAACACCGAGAGTACTAAACTAACGAAACAATGTGTTTAATCTTTACAAATAGAAAAATAAGAAGGAAATATTTCTTTAGTTGCACTGATGGCTAGGTTGATTTTTAGCTTCGCACTAATTACATAGCTTACTCTGATCGGAAGTTACTATTATTTATTATAATAATCGTATGTACGAGTGAGTGAATTATAGAACAATCATGCACTCAACGCATGTACGCAAATCTGTGACCACGAACTTGTGTTACGCTCGTAAAAAATAAATATATTAGACCGTGTGCGTATATGTTCACGGTTAACTGTACGTAAATATATATATATATATATATATACATTAGATTACTATAAATCCCTAAAAATGTTTTCTAAAATTTTATTGGGAGTTATTGTTGAATTAGTTTTAAGTTTATTAACAGTTTAAATTGTGGAAAAGGAAACATGAAGTGTGAAAGTTGGTCACAGGATACGTTATGGCGCTAAAACGTATTAAACACATTACCTATTATAACTTTTTATCAGGGTCTGCCATAAAATCATACTGAACACACTAACAGGGATCTTCATATTAAACTAGTTGCTAGAGGTTGTTATAAAATATACTGAAAACACTACTACAACGTTTTAAAAAATTCGTAGATCACTGGTCCTTGCCACATTTAAAAAATGCGTGGATCATTGGTACTTGCCACATTTAAAAAATGCGTGGATCACTGGTACTTGCCACATTTAAAAAATGCGTGGATCACTGGTACTTGCCACATTTAAAAAATGCGTGGATCACTGGTAATTGCCAAATTTAAAAAAAAATGTGTGGATCACTGGTGCTTGCCAAATTAAAAAAGAAACGCGTGGATCACTGGTGATTGCCAAATTAAAAAATGCGTGGATCGCTGGTACTTGCAAAATTAAGAAAATGTGTGGATCACTGGTGCTTGCCAAATTTTAAAAAATGCGTGGATTACTGATGATTGCCAAATTTAAAAACAAATACGTGGATTACTGGTGCTTGCAAGTTTAAAAAATGAGCAGATCACTGGTGCTTGCCAGATTGAAAAAAAAATGCGCGGATTACTGCTCATGTTTGTCATAGGTATGATTTTGAAATATTGAAATTACAACCAGGACGTAAAAATAAATGCACCGAGTTCAGTAAGAGATTTTGAGAAAGACAACTAGGAACATGGTACCAGATGTCAATACAGAAGTATTTTCACAGAGCCCTGGACGATTTATTTAATGTTAGAGAAACTGTTCAAGATGCTTTAAGTTATTTCCGCCAATTCAATTTATGCACGTGAGTAATATGGAAACTTTTTCTTCAATCATAATTATAGCTTTTATCAATAATTCCTTGACCACATTGTGTGAATAGTGTGTTGTTGTAGTAGCTATTGTTGTATTCAATATTTAGCAAACATTCGTGCATCGACAATATATACAAACACTGAAGTTCACATGCACTACGTTTCTATCGTATGATTGAACAAATCTTCAGCGAATTTTAAATTAAAAGTTATTAGCCTTTATTACCTTCTTATTTGAATTAATGATCGTATATATTCATTGGTAACGACTTTAAAACTCATTGTTTGACAAACAGCATTGTAACTTACATTGAAATACTTTTTTTTTTTACCGTTGACATGCAATATTTTAGTTGAATTTATAAATCAAATATTTTTATAGTGACATGTTCTTACCTTGGAATAGGTTCAAGCTTTTGGGTTGTGCCTGGAGAAGATATTAAATAATTAAGCACACATATATGCTTTTCTTTCTCTACATATATACACGAGTGTGTGTGTGTTGTTTGTATATATATATATGACAATATTAACAAAACCGAGAACCTAGAGTGTTATTGCATCAAGATATTTCTTGTGAAAATGCTGACTTTACTGAGAAACTATATAAACAAAAATTTTATGTATAGATACAGTACGGCTCGAGACAGTTAATGCAGGCATGCTTTTTCACAGTCACTAAACAGAGTTAAAAATAAATTTCAGACAGAAGTACAGATAATTCTTATTTTTAGTAGTTGAAATATTAAGGTATAACATTGTTTTGTAAGTTTCCATTGTTATATTATTTACAATTGGTTGATTACGCTATACTAAAATGATTTTGAATATGTATATCAGCAATTCACGTGACAACCACAGTCGATATACAGTTGCGGTGGAAAGGCATATATTACAACAAAATTTTGACTTTTTTTTTTGGTCATTTCGTAGTGTGATGCCACCGAGAACTGATTGCTTTTGAGATGGCTATGTAACTACCTTTTCCGACACAAAATATTCGAAGACTTAGATCATATCAGGAATTTAGAAATCTCCAGATGGGGGATACCCCTTGTACGTAACAGAAGTGAAAAGCAAAGAAATATAGATTATCTTGGGGTACCGGGGACAGCCACAAAGAGACTTGCAATATATCTTACTTCAACTCTGGTTAATAAAGTGTAGCGGCTTTTAACAGGTGAGACATCATAAACACAAAGTTCAGTAGCAAAAGCCGTACACGTGTCCCAAGCACCAGTACGCAACATAACCAAGGAGATCAACCAGATTTGTGTTCACTAACATAAAGCTTCCAGTCATATCCTCGGTTCAATCATTGCTTACATCAATCAGTTTTAAAATGAAACGAGTATTCATGCTATTACATACGAATACAATGCAGCGTCCGTGCGTTCTGACTGTTGAAATGAACGCTGAGAAACAGTAATCCTCGTAAAATAAATGGCATTTGGAAAGAGTCTACAGAGTAATGGTGAGGTTTTGACTTGATAGCTTTACGACGGAACCCTTTGCAATGTAAATTACGCTTCAGGGCAATTGTTAATATGTACAGCCGTCAGATAGAGCATGACCGGATATGATGTGTAGTGTAGCTTCAGTCTTTGGATACGGAGTTTCATTTGTCAATGACATTGTTGGGATGTCATGGTGTTTGCCTCTTACAACTAATTAACTAATCACAGGGTTAAATATAACGTCGATTTTAGGTAGTTTTGTTCATTTTTATTAGTATATAGCTGCAGTACTGATGTGAATGACTGTTGGTATTATATAATTTCACTGTGAGACATCTAGTGAAGGTTGTTTGCTAGTTGCCGTGTTGGGGTATAACTGGTATTATATAATTCCACTGTGGGACATCTAGTGAAGGTTGTTTGCTAGTTGCCGTGTTGGAGTATAACTAGTATTATATAATTCCACTGTGGGACATCTAGTGAAGGTTGTTTGCTAGTTGCCGTGTTGGGGTATAACTGGTATTATATAATTCCACTGTGGGACATCTAGTGAAGGTTGTTTGCTAGTTGCCGTGTTGGGGTATAACTGGTATTATATAATTCCACTGTGGGACATCTAGTGAAGGTTGTTTGCTAGTTGCCGTGTTGGGGTATAACTAGTCACATCATTGTAAGGAAAATAGTCGATGACCTCAAGGTTCTTTAATGGAAAGTTTTTTAGCTCGTAATCGAATCGTGTTTGTTTTCTCTGACGATGTTCCATTGAAGTTACAAAGTATAGCATCCACTACGAAACGGTGGATATAAACATGAATTTTCCGGTTGATACTTTTATTTTACACGGCAAATAGATTTGGTAAACAATTAAAAGTAGTCGTAGTTACAATTCAAAACATTGTGATCCCAACATAAACATTTGTTTAATGAGTATAATGACAAAAACTGTTTGACACTATAGGTACTCAATATTAATAACACCGAGAGCATGAGCATGGTGCTAGATGGACGTAAATAAACTCATTATAGTTGTTTACATAATGTAGCCCTCCGGTGGCTCAGCGGTAAGTCTGTGGACTTATAACGCTGAAAATCGGATTTAGATATCTATGGTAGGCACGGTGCAGATAGCCCTTTGCTTAACAACAAACAAACAAAACTTGTGTAAACAAATATTTATCTCCTAAGAATTTAATTTTTTATGTGTTTTGACTTTAAAAAATCCACACAAAAGATGAAACGAAACAGGGAAGGTGGAGTTTTCTGAGGGATAACAAATGTTTTATTTGAGTAAGTATTTTCCTAGAGCATTAATGAAACCATTCCGATATACAACAGCTTTTGTTTATATTCAAAGATACAAAACGAGTAGCGTTAATTTTCTGTTTCACAAGCAAATAAAATTAAAACTAGACTTGGTAATATATGCGGTATTTCTCATTTATAACTGCTGAACAGAGGAAGGGTAACCAGTCATTAGCTGCAGATAAGAAGAAGGGCTATCAGTCAGTAGCTGCCAATCAGAAGAAGGGCAACCAGTCAGTAGCTGCCAATCAGAGGAA